GAGATGAGTTTCGTTGTCAAAGGCGCCGGTGCTGTTATACTACTTTTTCGTTTAGAATACAAAACGATTGCTATATGTCATAATGTAAATACCCAAAAAGTAAAAATTGCAAAGAGAGGCAGGCCGCACATCTTAGCCTCAAAACCGGTGTGAAACCTTTGAAAACCTTCTACATATTGACATTGCTCCATTGAGGGTCTTTACCTCGGGCTTTACCTCGATAAATGGTAAAGCCCATTGAGGAGTACTCTTTCGGGGATTTTACACTCAAAAAATTGAACGATGATTTTTATCGGTATCAGGGGCCCATGACTCTGTCAGTATAAATATACATAGCTTCTTTGTAACGTACCAAGATACGGCTCGGTACAGTATATGTTCAGCTCAGGAAAAATGTGTAAGTTTAACAGACCCTTATACAACACAGTTAATTCAGTTCGCGCATATTCCTGCAGAATTTGTTGTCCGTTTTAGAAGATATCAATATTGCGTGAAAGTAATTACATTTTCCATAGCTGCTTAGTATCTACTTTTAATATCTCCGTACAGTCTTAGAATACAATGTTAAGAGTTGTACGCAGCATGCATTTTAGATAGATAGATGGATAAGAACTTTATTTCAGTTTAGCAAGATAAAAAGATCAGCATTGCTGGTGGGTCGTGCATACAACAATTACAAGAAAAATGAGGAGTACTGAAAGCAAATCTACAATTAAAAATTAAAAACTGTTAAAGTTTTTTCTTTTATTACAGTATCACTGGGATAAAGCGTTTCATATTCCAGGAAAATTTCACTTTCTCGTCAAAATAATCACTGACTCAGACAGACCCGGATTAGTTTACTTGAATTTAATGTTCAGTACGGTGAATGGGGTTACGTTCTGTGAAATTTATCTACAGTCTGCGGCCCACATCACCAGCGATCCTGATTTTCCAGTAAACCTTGAAGTTTTGCTCATTAAGATTATTCTTTTTTTTTTCGACCACTGAAGTGATCAGTTGTTCCAAAATAATCAACACTTTCAAGCAATAGAATTCTTGGACCAACCCGTTCCGGAAAAGCTCGGTATGGGATTTCTATTCTATGGACATGAAGTGCTGCAAGTAGAGTGCGCGGATAGTCACGTTCAAAGCTACCAATATAAACACATCGGTGACACATACGTAACGTTAGGGTGGATTTCCGCTGACGCGTTTTTGGCTCTGCACGTTAACGCAAATAAATTTTAATCACGTAAATAAAATAGAGGTAAGATATAAAGTGTCAAGATTAAATGTCAAGTTGAGCGAGTTTCTACTTTTACGCCTACATAATTGTACGTGCGGCCTTTCATACATATGTTTCTATTTTATTTGCGAACGCCAATTTTACGCACGTACGCACGTAAAAATTACGTGACAGTGGATACCTGATATATCAAGTATTTATAAAGTGCAACACGACTTCACATCTTAAAAAGTGCGAAAATCTATCAATTAAATGCATAAAACAAAGTGAATCTATTTAACCGTAGAAGAAAATATTCTGAGAAACGTAACGCCTTAAAACACCACAAAATAGGATTTCCCGCTATAATATTTTCTTATCCTACTTGGGGATATTTCCTTTTTGAGCTATTTTGAAAAAATAGCTCACATGTCAGTGGTGTGAGCGTATGTAACTTTGTGGCTTTGTATCTTTGTGGCTTTGTATGTTGGGATGTTTGTTGCAAGAGCCAATAAGGTTGAAGGTACTATGAGTTGATGCTTAGGAACCAATGAGATCTTGGCATCTATTTAAACATGGCATTGGTAAAGGTCGAACAAGGGCAGTTTGAGACCGCCATCTTGATCCTTCACAATTTTTTCGTCTTTTATTACGTGAACAGGTGTTTGGAAGCATTACATAAAATATCTTCATGATTCAAACGCTGTGAACAGTGAAGCAGCTGTTTAAGGGTTCATGTTTAAGTGTGGATGCTGCTTTGAGGCATTTCTGAACCTAATTCGGCTATCGGTACAACGCACGTCAGTATAAGTTCTGTTTCACCTGCTACAACTGGGTAGAGTATAGAAGATCATATATTTTCAAATCTCTTCCAGTGAAGTAATATAGACTTTAATTCGAAAGTATGCGCCCTATAAAACGTGGTTTTAGAAGCTTAAAAGGCGGCTTATTTTTTTGAAAGCTGTATCGAGTATTGTTAATCCTGTAAATAAGCTTTAAAAATATTATTCTTTCGCTTACAAAGATGAACCGACCTTTTTCGTTCTATTTAGTAAAGATGCGTAACTTAAGTACAAACAGTAGCGTTAGGGAATAAAATTGGAAGAAGCTAGTTGACACAATAAATAGATACTGTTATATTGAGTGGAGTAACATGATATAAGTAGAAATATATTTTGGCAGTTTGATAATTTTCTTGTAGGTTAATAAATGTTAGGCTATCAACCTTGACGTTGCATGAAACATAATTTAATTACAGATGTTGTAATAAAGCCGAGGTGATTTCTTAAAATCGTTTGAGAAAATTTTGTAGTAAAACAATTTACCTCTTTTTTACGTACGAATTGTGAAAGGGCCACAGACCAACATCTTCACATGCAAATTGTGTGCATGAGTTATTTTTATAATTCTGTTTACTAGATTACTGTGTGATAACTCGAATTCCCTCACATACGAACCACGAAAGGGGGCAAAGTCCAACACTTTCACGTGCCCGCTGTGTGAATGTACATCACATGCAGATTGGCTTTTCACAATAATAATAGTAACTTGGACGTATGAAGACCTGTTTCGTTTAGTAACCAATGCCTTAAAAAAGGCTTTTGTCTTTTAAGAAGCAATAGCTTTTAAAACATGACGAAATAAGTTGTCGGAGTTAAAGACTGTTTCACAAATGTTAATAAATGTTAGGTTATCAACCTTGACGTTGCATGAAACATAATTTAATTGCAGATGTTATAATGAAGCCGAGGTGATTTCTTAAAATCGTTTGAGGAAATTTTGTAGTAAAGAATTTGCCTTTTTTTGACGTACGAATTGTAAAAGGGCGAAAGACCAACATCTTCACGTGCAAATTGTGTGCGTGAGTTATTTTCATAATTCTGTTTACTAGTTTACTGTGTGATAACTCGAATTCCCTCACGTACGAACGACGAAAGGGGGCAAAGTCCAACACTTTCACGTGCCAGCTGTGTGATTGTACATCTCATGCAGATTGGCTTTTCACAATGATAAATAGTAACTTGGACGTATGAAGACCTGTTTGGTTTTGTAACCAATGCCTTAAAAAAGGCTCTTGTCTTTTGAGAAGCAATAGCTTTTAAAACATGAAGAAATAAGTTGTCGGAGTTAAAGACGGTTTCACTGAGTAGAATCGCACGTGAAAACCTCGTGAATTATGATGATGCAACCATCTACCACCATGATAAAAATCCTGGTATTTCGTAACTATTCAGTATTCGGTGAGTCATATTTTGGCTTAAGAAACTCCGAGGAAACCTTAGAGTTTTCCTTCTAATCAACGTTTGGTGAGTAGAAATTTATTTCACTTTATTTGTTGAACTTGCACCAGATGTAACAGGGAAAGACAGAGGAAAGTGAATATATAGCTTTAGGATCGACTCAGCTGAGCGTTTCGCGTTTTCATTTATGTACTGCAATACGCAATTTCGCACAAAAATCCAATCTACATTTAGATGAAAGAGGTAGATTCATCACTCTTGGTAAGGTTACACCGAAGCATTAAAGTTACACTGACGCATTCAAAATAGCTCATGCACGTTTAATCAGTGGCTGCATGTCCTGGATAATTACACGAAAATCAAGGGCCTTCATCCGAGGAAAATTACATCATTGATAAACAAACTTTACAGGAATCACAAAAAACTTATTTGGGTTATTAAAGAACATAATCTGCAAACATTTTGTTTTGCATCCCATGTATTTGCATGTTGAGCAATGAACATCAGTGAAACTTGATCTAGGCCTGTTTCAAACGTCGTCCTACTGCCGTGCTAAGTTGGCTCGACTGTAGTTTAATTCAGTGTAATAGAACGGCTGTTGCCGAAAACAAAAGACAAAAATAAAGAAACGGTTTAGCAAACTTTTAAATTTATTCTAATGTATTTATAATTTATGAATTGAGTTTGGCACGGCAGTAGCGCAATGTTTGAAACCAAGTCGAGCTACCACCGTGTATATAGCACGGCAAAGCTTGCCGTGCTACACAGCAGTAGCACCACTTGGTTTCAAACCATAGTACCACTTAGTTTCAAACGTCGTGCTACTGCCGTGCTAAAGTCGAATTTAATTCGATCAATTTAGTTTGGCACGGCAGTAGCACGACGTTTGAAACGGGCCCTACTTCGTTGCCTGGCACGTGATCGCAAGTCTCCAGGAGGATGAAACGTCGCTAATGTTTTATGGCAAAGAAGTTGATTTCACGAGAAGTCTGTTCAACAAATAGCATGACTTGAACGGTACTTCATTAGAAGTCAATAAAATACGGCACAGCTTTTGTTTGGGTTTTCACGCTCAACAGAAATTCGCACAAAGTTGTTTACAAGAAGCTCGAGAAATAAGCGCTGTTCGTTCTCAATTAGCTTAAATTTTCATTAGACTAATCTGTTATCGAGTCCACAATTGAGATACATGTTCGACATGAAGGAATTGTTTTTAATCGATCCGCTAAAAGTCATTCCCGGAGAAACACATGACGATCTGTTGAGAATTGTGATCGAATTGCCCAAAAGTCAATAAGACTTTCGTCGATTTCATCACTAGTGATTTTAACAGTCCTCTTTCAAGTAAAAGGCGTTAAAGCGTTTAGACAAATCGTCAGAGGGTTTGTACAAACCGTTAGAGCATTTGGGCAAAATGTTAGAGCGTTAGAAAAGCCGTTATCTATCCGTTAGTTTTGTGAAGAATAATGGATTTTCATCAGTGTACGTTTCCCCAAAGAAGAAAGACACCTATCCTGGGGGCCAGATTGGCAACCAGGCGTAAAAATTTGGTCGCCACTGAGTAAAAGCTGGTCGCATTGGCCACCACACAGGTCGCAACATCGAGCCCTGTATAGGGTAGCAAAATTCAGCCGAACCAGGTGTGGTATAAGCTGAGGATTCTGGGGTCCCAGCAGCACATCCCCTCTCAAAAGAACCCCCAGCCCAGGGTGTGTGGCTTAACTTATAACAGACAAGTCTATCACTGCAATGTCCTACTCCTTCATAGTGAGCCTGCCCTAATAGGCACTGACCATGTACTGTTTTTGTTTCTTGTCTCTGTGTGTTGTAGCTCACCACATTTGATGGAAGTCAGAGAGAGGATCAGAATAAATGGCAAACCACTTGCCAAAGACAAGTTTGCACAATACTTTTTTGACTGCTGGGATAATCTTCATAATAATGTTGATGTAAGTGGCCAAGAGCTCTTATCCGCCGTCCACATAATCATACAAGCCCACGGTCACACATTTATCCTGTCATTTATTATTGGAGGGCTCCTATCTTGTGCACTTCTACGAAATTTACTTTTGGAAAGTACACTACACACTTAATATACAGCAGGGAATCCTTTTTTTTTTGGTTCATATAATTTCTTGATAATTGCATATACTGTTCTGTACACATGATTGCTTGTTGACAGCTTAATCAAAACATAGGTCAATGTGAAAAATATACCACAATGTTTGTAAAACTGCTGTTTGTTCTTTGCACAAACTGCACATGCGATAGCCTGAATTTCCAAAATACCATATTGTAATCTACAATCTGCAGGTAATAAGCTTCTTTGAAGGGTAATGAAATTATTATTATTATTATTCTGGCCTTTTTTGTGTTAAAATGCAATGGAATTCAGAGTAAGTGTGGGAAGATTGTTCTACAATTAATCAAGGTTGTCCTATGATTTAAGAAACCTTTTAGCTTGCTTCTCTTATCATTTGTAGGCAAACTCCTGTGGACAAAAGACACAACCGTTCATGAATAAATTTTTTGATATGCCAAAATAAACCCTATGAGTCACAGAGCAGCATAGTTTTATGTCTGAGCTCATTTGAGATAACATGATACTGGAACTGTTAACTTATCAGGTAATTTTAATTTATACTCATTTTGTAGGATCAAGGGAACACCACTATGCCACGGTACTTTAGATTCTTGACACTGGTGTCCTTTCATGTCTTCCTCCAAGAGATGGTAAGCTGTTTGATGGAGTCAGTCTGGCTGAGTGGTTAGAGTACAAAGTGCTGGATTTGTAATTTGGAGCCCTGATTTCTAGTCCTGCCCTGACACCCAGCCTAAGATTTCTTCTTAGTAGTCCCGAGTTTAAATCCTCGGACAAACTTGGTTTGCCTCCAGCCAGTTAGGATTGTTAACCCTGTTAAGTTTGATTTAGATTGTTTGTTTCAGGCATTTGCTCGCCCCACTAGCATTACTGCTATAAATTCGGCTGAGGGTAATTAATTATTATTATTTGCTAGAACTAATTTGCTTACATTATATAATGGTTTAATTTTAATATTTGAATGTTAACGTTAATTTTAATTAACTTTCATTGGTGAGTATTTTTATTTAACGCTTTAAGGGAAGCCCTATTATATGCATAGTACTTCTCCTAACTGATCTTCATACATTTCCTTAAAGAATAGTTAAGAGACTTTAACAAAAGATCAAAGCATTTCGTTTTGATGGTCATTTTATTCATTCTCCCAACCTTTTTTCATTAAAAAAGGTTTAATTAATTAATTAAAGGCTTGTTTATAGTGGAAATTGCATGTAGCTTATCCAGTTAGTTTAAAGGCACTCCACTTAAATGATTAGAAAAGAATAATTTAAATACAACATAACAGGATTAAAAACCCTAACTGCCAGGAGGCAACCATTTGGCTGTTTACAAGTGTGGTCGAGGATTTCAACTCGGGACATCCTAGAACAAATCCAGCAAGTGGCTGCAGCAAGACTCCAACCTGGGACCTTCAGATTGCGAGTCTGATCTGGCGCGCTGACCACTCAGCCATGCTGCCTCATTATTTGGTATGATTTAACAGCTTAGCATATACATGTTACAACGTTAATATTGTTCTCTTTGCTTAAAAGGTTGATGTTGCCATTGTAGAGGTTGGGGTTGGAGGTACTGATGACTCTACAAATATTATTCGGTAAATGCTATAAATAAATAGTCGCAATTTAATACCCTCCAGTCTGCCTCTCATGATACCAACAGGATTAAGAAACCCTGACCTCAAACACGTTACAATCATTGGAATATAATGTGATTAACCATTTAGAAACATAATGTGCCAAGGGAATTGTGCAATGTGATTGGTAAAAGAGGTAAGGTAAAGTGTGACTGGTATTCCTATGTCAAGGTTATATTTGGAGTTTGTTATATCCATGTTTCACTGTATACGTAAAGCATTTTACATTCTGAATACCTTGAAAACATAACTTTAAAAGCTATTTCTTTTGTCTTTCCTAATAAACAAATAAACTTTCCTACCAGCACACTAGCTCCATGAACCATCTTGTGCCTTAACTGCCTTGTGCCAATGTGCTTTCTCACAGGACGCCTGTGGCATGTGGAGTAACATCACTAGGCATGGACCACGTCAAAAGGCTAGGTGGAACATTGGAAACTATTGCCGGCCACAAGGCTGGAATATTCAAGGTATTTATACAAAATAAATGGCCTTTACAACGTTTAAAGAAAGTGCTAACCCACACTTAGTAGCAATGTGATGTGTAGACGTTGATCCCATGCTAGTGATGCATATGTTACAGGTCAGGTTGTAACCATTAGATAATGTTGCAACGTTGTGTTGCGCTAAAAATTGTCGTTGCGAATCGTCCCGTGTAAAATCGACTTAAAAGTGAAGTCAGCAGGGCTTGACGTTGCGACCTGTGGGGTCGCCAATGCGACCAGCTTTTACTCAGTGGCAACCAAATTTTCACTCCTGCGCCACTACGTTGTTATTGCGTTACTTTCAGCGGTATCTAGCGCGCGCATGCGCCCGTGGCTCATCTTTGTAATTTCATGCGGTTCTCGTTCGGTCTTCAGTAAACCTTCGTTAAGACACAGTTTGTCCTTATTGGCGTGGTGGCAGCGGCTTTTACCCACGTACGGTGGACCCTAACACAAGTGTGGTCGTCTGGAACCTGTGACCCTTATTTTCACGAAGTGCGAAGATCAACAAATCAACGTGAATTCGCCGTAACCGTTCGTGTAGGAAAACCAACATGGCCGCCGCTCCCAGGGCGCCTAAACAATGGCAGCTTACGAAAAACGAGACCATCACCTCGTACGAAAGTTGGAGGCAAAACTTAGTCTACACCTTATCCCTGGACAAGAACTTTGTCCCATTTTTAGAGGCCACATGGCAAAAACAAACCGCCGCCAACCCTCGAAGAGGCCTTACGAATGATGGCACGTCTGTACCTGAGGCACAACGACTTACTGCCGCTCAGAAAAATGCCCACCTGGATCTTCTGCTCGGACAGATTGCCAATTTTTGCCCCGTGATCTCCAGGAACTCCATAGTAAAGCACTCTACCTCTCTGAATGACATTTGGCAGAAAATTCGCCAGCATTTTGGGTTCCAGTCCTCCGGAGCCCATTTCCTCGACCTTGCAAGCATCAGCCTTCAAACTGCTGAGCGACCAGAGGACTTATTCCAACGCCTCATGGCCTTCTTCGAAGACAACCTCCTTGCAGTTAATGGTGGCCTAACCCACCACGGTGAGCAGGTGACCGCAGATGAAGATCTTTCCCCATCGCTCGAGAACACTATAGTAGTTCTGTGGCTGCAGCTGATCCACCCTGGCCTACCATTACTGGTAAAGCAGAAGTATGATTCTGAGTTGCGTAACAAGACCCTTGCCTCACTCAAGCCAGAGATCTCACAAGCACTTAATTCCCTCCTTGATGAACTACGCTCCATAGAGGACACCAAAGCCATGCGTATTAGCAATGTCAACCCCAGACGCACCTCTAATGGCGGACAGGGCCAACCACGCCGCCGTCCATTTGTATCCTGTATTCTCTGCAAAACCGCTGGACGCCCTCACAACACCCATGATCTAATGGAGTGCCGTTACCTGCCTGATCGTGACAGGAGACCATTGGCCCGCTCACGTCTTATAAACGACGATCCTGATGAGTTTGCGACCGGCGACTGTGGCCCTTATGATGAGTGTTGCGATCATGCCCTCCCGCCTGAGCATAGTGATGTCCCTACTGCACCTACTGCACTCCGTGTCAGCATCATTCAATCACCTGTTCTCAACACCTTTTACCACGAGCACCCCGTGCAGCTCACCCTTGATACTGGCGCCACGTCTAACATGGTTCGTGCCTCGGCCGCTAAGTTATATGGCCTACCTGTTACCCCAGCTTCTCAGATGGCCCGCCAAGCCGATGGAGTTACCCCTATGGATGTGGTGGGTGAAGTGCATTGCACTCTCACTCGTGGACAGCAAGCATTTAAACTAGACGCCCTAGTTGTTCGCCAACTCGATGTTGACTTTTTAGCGGGAAACCCCTTCCTGGCCCGAAACGACATCGGCATCCGTCCTGCCAGGCGCCAAATTGTAATCGGCGGGTCTGACGTAATCCACTATGGTACTGCTTCCAAACACACTACTCAACCAGCTGTGCGACGCACCCAGTCCTTTCTCCTACGCAACCCGCAACGCACAGTTATACTGCCAGGAGAGTACGTTCAGCTTGACACCCCTTGTGATTCTGACCCAGATACGTTATGGGCCCTTGAACCCCGACTAGACTGTCCATCCAACACCCCCCTCAAGGCAGAAGGAGCATGGCCCCCACCTCAACAAGTCCTCTCTGTGGACCACGCTGTACGCATAATCAATACGACTGACTCTCCTATACTTCTTCGGACCGGCGAGCAGCTGTGTCATGTAAGGCATGTTATACCTGTTGACAGCATAGACACCACATCTGCCCCTACCTCTACAGCCACTACTGCCCCTACCTGCTGCCAGCCCTTCTCCACTAATGTGATCCTTGACCCCGATGGCTGCTTAGACGAGGACATTCGCGACAAGTTCAGAGCACTGAATCTGGAGTTTGATGATGTTTTCAACCCCACTATCTCGAAATATAACGGCGCTAGCGGTACCATTGAAGCTGTTGTCAACATTGGCCCCACACTCCCCCCTCAGCGTAAAGGCAGACTCCCACAGTACAACAGAAGCACCCTTGAGGAATTGCAAGCCAAATTTGACGAGCTCGAAGTGGCTGGTGTGTTTGCCAGACCTGAACAGGTGAACGTACACGTTGAGTACTTGAATACCTCCTTCCTTGTTAAGAAACCTAATGGGGGTAGCAGACTTGTGACATCCTTCGGCGAAGTTGCCCAGTATAGCAAGCCCCAGCCTTCTCTAATGCCTAACGTCGATGGTGTACTGCGTGAAATTGGGAAGTGGGAGTATATAGTTATCTCGGACTTGTTAAAGTCGTTCTATCAAATTCCACTGGCTCACTCTTCCATGAAGTACTGTGGGTAGCCACACCCTTTAAAGGCATCCGTGTTTATACCCGCTCTGCTATGGGCATGCCTGGGTCGGAAACATGCCTCGAGGAGCTAATGTCTCGAGTTCTGGGTGACCTAATTCAAGAGGGTTGTGTTGCCAAAATTGCTGATGACCTGTACGTTGGTGGGAGCAACCCTACAGATGTCCTTCATAATTGGCGGCGCGTTCTTTCCTTGCTTCAACGCAACAATCTTCGTCTCTCCGCGCCCAAAACACTCATCTGTCCCAGAAAGGCCACCGTGTTGGGTTGGGTATGGTCTAATGGCACCCTACAGGCTAGCCCCCACAAGTTAGCCGCATTATCCTCTGTTGACCCTCCTACTACTGTTCAAGGCCTACGATCTTTCGTTGGTGCATACAAGGTGCTCAGCCGAGTACTCCCTAAGTTCGCTGAATTGCTGGACCCCTTGGATCAGGCCACCGCTGGAAAGGAATCTCGAGAAAGACTAGTGTGGTCCGATGAGTTACTCCTGTCTTTCAAGTCCGCCCAACATGCCTTGGAAAACCACAAGACCATCACAATCCCCCAACCCCGCGACGCTTTGTGGATCGTGACAGATGGTTCTGTGAAGAATAGAGGCATCGCAGCCACACTCGACACCCACCGGAACGGTAAACTGCTGTTGGCTGGTTTTTTCAGCGCGAAACTGCGAAAGCATCAAGTGACCTGGCTACCGTGTGAGATCGAAGCTCTGGCCATAGCTTCCTCCATCAAGCACTTCGCCCCTTACATTATCCAGTCATCCCATACACCCGAAGTTCTGACGGACAGTAGGCCTTGTGTCCAAGCCTACGATAAGCTTAGGAGAGGAGAGTTCTCAGCCAGCTCCAGAGTTACCACCTTCCTGTCTACAGTCAGCCGCTATTCTGTCCATGTGCGCCACATTGCAGGTGTTGAAAACCTCCCTCAGACTTCGCCAGCAGGCACCCAAGAGAATGCTTGGACTCCAGCTGTCAGATTTGTCGCTTTATTGCGGAGTTGGAAGATTCTGTTGTGCGCAGCATCTCCGTGAGCGAAGTCCTAGAGGGTTCTGTTCGAATGCCCTTCACCAGCCGCGCCGCATGGCAAGCTACCCAGCTGGAATGCCCTCACCTCCGGCGAACCCATTCTCACCTCAGTCAAGGTACCCGACCTTCAAAGAAGGCTACCAAAATAATTGATGTCAAACGCTATCTTCAGGACGTCGTCATCGCCACTGATGGTCTTCTCGTTGTCAAAGACCACCCGCCTTTCCAGCCCCCTCGCGATCGCATTGTTGTCCCTCGCACTGTTCTTGATGGACTCCTGACAGCCCTTCACATCCGTTTCAGTCATCCTTCCAAGTACCAAACCAAGCGCCTTTTTAGCAGGTACTTTTTGCTCTGGACCTTGACAAAGCAATTGAGACTGTCTCTTCCTGCTGTCACACCTGTCAATCTCTGAAGACTATCCCTAAACACCTGCACCCGCAGTCATCTGCCGATGCTCCTCCTACCATTGGCGTATCATTTGCAGCTGATGTCGCTAAGCGTCATCGTCAACTGATCATGGTTCTAAGGGAAACAGTGTCTTCGTACACCGTGTCTTCCTTCATCGCGAGTGAAAAACTCGAAGACCTCCGCAATGCCATCATCATGCTCTGCTCTCAGCTCCGTTCCCTTCGCGATGGAGGGGTGATCGTCCGCGTTGATCCTGCCCCTGGCTTCTCCGCCCTTGCCAAAGACAGAGTACTCCTCTCTTATGGGATCACCCTGGAGGTTGGTAGGCCCAAAAACCCTAACAAGAATCCTGTGGCTGAGCGCGCGATCGAAGAGCTAGGCTTGGAGATCCTCAACTTGTCTCCTGAGGGAGGCCCCGTCTCTCAAACTACGCTGTCCTTAGCAACGGCCAATATGAACTCCCGCATCCGCCGTGATGGCCTCTCAGCTCTTGAGTTGTGGACGCAACGCGACCAGCTCACTGGTGCGCAGCTTCCAATTGTCGACCGCCAGATTATCCTCAGTCAAAACTTTTCCCGCCAGCAGAATCACATGCCGAGTGCTAAGTCCAAGGCCCATGGCTTTACCAAAGCCTCCATCCCCACTGTCCTTGTTGGTGACCTTGTTTTCATCAAAGGTGACAAAGACAAACTGAAAGCCCGCGACAAGTATCTTGTGATCGGCATCGATAAAGACCTTTTCTGTCAGCTCCGCAAGTTTACCAGTTCACAGTTCCGCAGTAAGGTCTACACCATTCCTATGTGTGACTGCTACCCTGTCACCCCAACTGTCCTAGCTCAGACTCCACAAGGACCCATCCGTGGCCAAACCGAATCCACTGCTTCTGACTCTGACGATGATCCTGTTCCCGTCGTCCCTTCACTAAGACCCCCTACAGTGCTTGCTTCTCCACCAGTGGATACCTATACTGTTCCGGTACACCACTCAGTGTCTCCAGCTCATTCTCAGCTACCCGCCCAGGAACACCCCCCAATTCCTGAAGTCATTATGCCTTCTCGGAGTCCTCCACAAGCTCCCCTGGACCCCTCTTTTACTGATGATGCACAGCCGACGCCTGCTGCTGTTATCCCCACTAGGAAATCTGACCGCTCATGAAAAGCCCCATTTTGGCACAATAAGGACTGGGACTTTGACTAATGACTCTGCCGTGTACTCTCTAGCCGTAACTACGGTCTTTACCATGAACTGCGTATTTTATTAGCTCACTCGTACCTTATCATAAGGGGGAATACACCCCACCGTTACATTCAGTTTCATATTTATTCTAGCTCTTTCTTTACTTTTAGCCGTTGTTATCCTATGCGGTTTTAGTCTAGTGCTCGTATCAGTTCAGCCTATTGTTCATGTTTTATTTCTTAGTTAGGGTAGGAAAGAAGGAGGAGGCAATCACGCCACTACGTTGTTATTGCGTTACTTTCAGCGGTATCTAGCGCGCGCATGCGCCCGTGGCTCATCTTTGTAATTCCATGCGGTTCTCGTTCGGTCTTCAGTAAACCTTCGTTAAGACACAGTTTGTCCTTATTGGCGCTGGTCGCCAACCTGGCCCCCAAGATAGGTCGTCCCGTGTTTCTCCTGGACTGACTTTTAGCGCATCGATTGAAAACAGTTCCTTTATGGCGAACAAGTATCTCAGTCAATTGCGGACTCGATAGCAGATTAGTCTGATAAAGATTTAAACTAATCGAGAACGAACAGCGCTTATTTCTCGAGCTTCTTGTAAACAACTTTGTGCAAATTTCTGTCAAGTGTGACGACCCAAATAAAAGTTCTGCTGTATTTTATTGACTTCTAATGAAGTACCATTGAAGTCATGGTGTTTGTCGAAGAGACTTTTCGCGAAATCAACTTCTTTGCCCTAAAACATTTGTGACATTTCCTCTTTCTGGAGACTTGCGATCATGTGCTAGGCAACGAAATAGATCAATAGTTCATTTCTGAACATGCAAATACTTGGAATGCAAAACAAATGTTTGCAGATTATGTTCTTTAATACCCAAATAATTTTTTTTGTGATTACTAAAGTTTGTTTATCTAAATGTGTATTCCATTTCCTGAACCTTAAGCTTGAATACCTGTTTGAGGAGATTTACACTTAAGTGCGGGCTCATTTTCCCGAACACCGGCTGGTAATCGAACCTCAAGCGAAAACTGTTCAAAAGAAAGTTCAAAAGGAAGTCTAAAGCATTTTTTTTCTGTTAAGGCTAAGTAAAAGTAAGTATTCTAGTCGCCAAAAATTATATTTAAATACATGGGACGCAAAACAAATGTTTATTGTTTTCCATTAATTCTTAAATATAATTTTTGGCGACTAGAATACTTGTTCCTGTGACCAAAAATGAAAACTTGGGGGCCTGACCCCAAGATTTTTTTCTGAAAGTCGAGCACTGAAGTGGGCTTAAGAAGTTATTCTAGTCATCAGTGAATCATAATGTTCGTCAGAGTAAATTTATAAGCTGGAATTTATTGTTTTATATGTTACAGGTCAAAATGTTATTCAGATTAAATTGTTTAAATCTAGGTTGATTCTCAATTTTGTTTCAATTGCTTCCTAGCCCTAATTCATGAATAATTTAAGGAAGGAGACAAAGGAAATTGACAATCAACCAAGTTAAAAAAATTTAACCTGAAATCAAATTTGACCTGTAACACATACACTTATCTCCTAAACTAGCAATACAGAGGGCAATAAGAGCTACGGTGCAAAGTAAAGGATACACTTACTATAGCCTCTGATAGTTGTTTCTTTTGTAAGTAAGTTCTCCATTCTCAGACCCTGGTTATGTGCTTGCTCCATCTTTGGGTTGTGTATAAATTTGTTAATTTCTCCTTTTAGCCTGGAGTACCAGCGTTCACTGTCCCCCAACCAGATAATGCTATGGCGGTCTTAGCTGACAGAGCTAGAGAAATTCAGGTACTTTCATTCACAAACATCTTTACACGTCTAAACACTTCTGATTGCATTTCTTGTTTATACTGCATATGATTTGTTAAAAGCCTCAGTTATTACTGTGATTTCTTCTTCTTCTTTTTTTTACAGGCTCCACTCCAAGTGGTTCCATTATTAGAACATTACCCTGGAGATATGCCTGGTAACTTTTTCAAGCTGTTATGTTGTTTTTATTACTAGTAGTAATCTCAGATTAGGAAGGGCATTCAAACTTTTTTAGGTTTACTGTCAAATGTGACGTTATTTCTTGATAAATTGTTGCTGCAAAATGCTTGCTACATGTTTTTTTAAAAAAGAAACAAAACAAAACGACTACGAAAAAAAGAAAAAAGCCTCACCCAGCAGGAGTCGAACCCGAGACCTTCGACATGTTAGGGCAACGCATAATCCATTGCGCCACGCAACCATTGCTGAAACCATATGTGAAATTAATTGTAAGTAACATTTTTGTACCCATGAGATAAATTATTCAAGATGGCGCAAAAAAATGCAGACGTACGATGAAATGAGTACCACAAAAGGCCACCATTGAGTACCACAGGAATCCCAAGATTATGTCTTGCGTTCTCCTAACGTCGAACGCAATTAGCAAAGTGTATATAGCATTATGATTATCATCATCATCTTAGATGAGAACAGATTTTCAAGCAGTCCTCAAAAATTTAATAAATTATATAAGTGATCTCAACACCAGTTGCTGGGCTGGTCATGCATTTAGTTATGGAGTTACAGTCAGTGTTTATTAATACGGACACTGACGGGGCCAAACAAAGCATCTGTATAAAGTGGGTTGAATTTAGAGAAAATCTAAGGGTTTCTTTCCCCAGGGACAAAACAAATTGTCTGTAATAATGAGGTATCCGTATTAAGCAGGGTTTGACTGTATAAGCTTGTGAGGCATGCAAAGGAGATGGATGGCTGTTTGTCATGAGCAATGAAGAGAAACTTTTGCCTGATGAATGTGGACCTTATGCAGCCCCATCAGGCCAATGGTGAAATGATTGCCTGAAGATTATAATGTTGAATGAAGAAAAATATATTAATTTTGTACAGCGATGCAGCTTTAAGAGGCGTGGCGTACAAACAGTAACCCAATCACATATTAAAACCAGTACACGCTTGAATCTTCCCTGGCCTTTTGCTTAAGCCTTTGCTATCAGCCTTGCAATATCTTTGTTCTGAAAATTCAATTTTCATTTCACTAGCTGTTGTTAGTTCCAGACATTGTTGTTACCACACAGTCAGATCATACCACAACAACTTACAAAATAAGTTTTTGGCCACCCACATTAGAGCCTGTTCCAAATTCATTTCTTTTTTTTTAATTTGTCGTATTGTACCTTTATCTAGAACTTGCCCTGGAAGGAGAGCACCAGTATTTGAATGCATCACTGGCACTTCAACTTTGCACAACATGGTTAAACAGGTCACTTGAGAAAGGCAAAACTATTGAAGGTCTAATTTTCTTTTACTTCTTCAGTGTTGTGTCAGTTTTCTAACATTATGTTGATTAACAATAATATTATTGGATGAGGCTGACTAAAATATTGTGATTTGTCAGTGGTGAGCAGATCAATTTTTTGCCAAAGCTGAAAAGAGGTTGCGAGACACTGATAAATCATGATATTTTTCAATAAACGAGTTCGATAATTGTTTTATCATTCGATCACCAAGTTTGAATATCTTTAGGAAGGAAGGGGATCTGCCATTTTCACGCAAGAGCGATCGCGAGAAGGAGAAAAGCATAGTGTCATTTATGAATAAGCAGAATATTATTTCTAGCCAAACACAGCCGGTTGCACAACATTGTGCTTGAGCAGAGTGTTATTTGTAGGCAGTTATTTGCAGGTCATGTGGTGGGCTCTTGGCCAATAGAAAGAAAGAAATATTTGCATTGTCATAATGATAATATGTAATATTTATTTCTACTGTTTAAATTGCAGTTGTTGGTAAGCAAACAACCACAACCAACTCATCAAGTAGAGAAGAGACTGCAGATGAGCCTTCATCCACAAAACCAAAACTTGATGTTCCTGTGGCTAAAACATTTGAAGTTTCTGATGCTTTGAGGAATGGTAAGAATCAAAATGTTTTACTATCCAAGTAATTTGAATGAATTTCAAAACATAAATGCTGCAGTGGTTAATCAGAGACATTTTTAGGGCCTGCATAGGAGGCTAAGTTTAACTACCATCTCTTGTACAAATGTGTACTTAAGGTAGTGTTTTCAAAAGAGGCTGTTTAGTTTTCTGCTAGGGCTGTAAATGACCCCCTTCTCTCATTAGAAGGTTTACTGTATAGATATTTCACTGTCATTGACATGTTGTCTTCAATGATATTAAGGTCTTTCAGGGCAGCTGTTCTCTAGCATCACCCAGTATCATATGCTGGTTACCCTGTATTTCACAGGTTTAGAGCTTTAATATTGGGCTGATCCCTTCAATTTTTTCTTGGAGCACAGCCTTGTCTTTATTTCTTTGCACTTTAGAATTTCAAATTTGCATATGACATCTGCAGCAAGCTTAACGCTTGGTCCTAATAAAAAAGCCACTGTTTTCAATGTTACTTTTTGAGCATGATTGTACTGTTTGGGTCAGATTTAGAAGTAGTCATTATTTTTTAGATTTTTATGGAAAGCAGTAATATTTTTTGGTGATCTAGTTAATTTCTTATTTCCACGTTTTGATAATGAAGGCTTAAAGAATACAAGATGGTGTGGACGAAATCAAGTCATTGTAAGACCAAGCGTTACCTTCTATCTGGATGGTGCTCATACACGAAGGAGTATAGAGGTTTGTTTAGGAAATAGAAATGCTGCATTTTCTCGTATTCTGAAACTTAATTTTTGTTGCTGAATGAACCTACAGTCAACTCCCGTTATTGTGGACATCCCCGGGACATCCCCCGTAATAGCTTGCTTCTTTCTAATTTTTCTAAATTCTTTGAAAGAGTTATGCACAATCGTATTACAAATTTTTTAGATCGTTTAGATATCTTATACTGTTGCCAATTTGGATTTCGTAAAAAATATTCTACAGCGCTGTCTTTAATTCATCTTATTAATAAAATTGCAACTGCTATTGACAGAAGCGAATATACAGTTGGCATATTCTTAGACTTATCAAAAGCATTTGATACTTTAGACCATCAAATACTCTTGTCTAAGCTTGAGCATTATGGGATTCATGGGCTAGCACTTAGCTGGTTGAAAAGCTATTTGTCAAATCGCGTGCAGTTTGTCCAGTACAAAGAGACTTGTTCTATTAGGCTGACTCTGAGCTGTGGAGTCCCTCAAGGTTCTATATTAGGACCATTATTGTTTGTTTTGTATATCAATGACCTCCCTTGTGCTACTCGTCTTGCTGAAACTATGCTTTTGCAGATGATACTAGTGTGTTTTATTCTAATCCCGATTTAAATTGTGCTATTTCTGCCGTAAATAATGATTTATCTCAAATTGATCTTTTTTATGAAAGCAAATAAGCTCTCTGTTAACATAACGAAAACTAATTATATCATTTTTGCAGCAAGGCAAAACCAGTCGGCTTCCCAATAAATCCTGTCTTGTACGATGAGGTTTTATTAAAACAAGTAAAGGTAGTTAAATTTTTAGGGTTTTTATCGACGAGCATCTAACGTGGAAGCCGCATATTACTTATATATGTAAGAAAATTTCAAAATCTATTGGCGTCATGTTTAGGTCTCGTTTCTTTCTTTCTGAAACAACAAAAAGTCTCTTTATTATACCTTAATTTATCCTTATTTAACATATTGTACCACAGTTTGGTCCTCCACTTATGTAACAAACCTTAATAGAATTTTTTCTTCTACAAAAAGCGAGCAGTACGAATTATTACAAATGCAGATTTTCGCGCGCACTCTGAACCATTATTTTTCCGTTTAAAGATTTTGGACATATACAACATTAATTCATTCTATACTGCACAATTTATGTTTTCATATTATCATCAATTACTGCCACCGCTTTTTTCGAACCTTTTTGTTACTAGTAGCAATATTCATAATTATAATACTAGAAGTTCCTCGCATTTCCGTTCTCATGCCTGCCGAACTAACACCAAACAATTTTCTATTTTGTTCCAAGGCCCTAAAATTTGGAATTCTTTACCAAACTCAGTCACTTCGATTTTTACATTGCAATCGTTTAAAACGAAAGTTTTTGATTTTCTACTATATCGATAATGCGTCTTGTACTGTCCGTTGTTGTGTGTTGTTATAGTTCTATTGCTTAATATTATTGTAACGAGGGGGCCTCCTCGTACAAGCCTTGTGGTTTTCTGAGGTCCCCTCGCCACATCTTTGTATAATGTAATGCTTGTGTAATCTTTATTGTGGGAAAATAATAAATAAATAAATAAATAAAATAAATAGCGAGAGTCTGTAATAACGGGGTGTGAGGAAAAGAGTGCTGTTAACATTCAATAATATTATAAATAACAGTAACTATGTTTGTAAGGTTTTCTTAAATCTTTGTGTATTAAATGTTCTACTTACCGGTATACGAATAACAGCTCAATTAATCGCAGTTCTTTAATTTTTGCATTGAACAACAAAACCTAGCGTAGTGTCTGATACATGTGTCGTGCTTTTTAAGAGGGACAACCACAGAGGACTGGCAAGAATTTGCAGGAAGAGGATTAACAGAGGTGGCTGCTTGGGGCTTGAGATTGTAGTTATTTAGGAGCTATAATGGCAACCCAAAATATCTTGCAAGAGTGGACGAACTTATCAGCAGTACCAAACTGCTAAGCAGTTGTTGATAATGGAACACGAGGGCTTGAGCTCTCCTAAAGAGCCGGGAAGAAGTGAGGACGATTGTGCAGACAATTTAAGGAATCGATGTGAAAATAAACATTCTGGAAATCTTTTGAAATGTATTTTGGCAAACGATGAACAGTGGACTGTAATCTTACATAATTATGTTATATGAGAAGTACAGCGTGTCGGTCTATTTCAAAACAATAAAATTATCACTTTAGTACAAAGAAAGTGTCCACAATTCCGTTATAGCGAGAGTCATTTCCAGTCAAACCCCTGAAGCTTTTGCCGGGGATCTAAATTTTATCTGTAATAGCGAGCATCCGCAAAAGCGGGGTGGCCGTAAGGCGAGAGTTGACTGTAGTACTGTTGTAATATATGTTGTGGTTCAAATTTTTCATTGGTTAAAACAAAAGTAATAATACGGAGTTTAAAAATAACAAAGACAGCAACAAGAATGTCAAAAAGTAATTATAATACTGGTCAGTTTGATAATTAAACTGACCAGTAATATTTTTATGAGAAAAACAACAACTCTGCATGTGCAACACACTCTTTTTGTGAATTCCTTTACCTTCACTGCACGGCGTTGATGTGAAAATGTCTGATTTCATGGTTTCTGAAAAAGGAAACAAGTGACAACAAAATTTTCTTTCTCCGTCTGATCGAGTCTGAAATTGGATGTAGTTCAGAATAGGAATTCAACGCCAAGAGAGTTTGCTTACATTTGACAAAGTGAGAGTGAAGAATGATCATCGCAGTAAATTTTCCAATTTAAGCAATTGGAAAGAAGAAGCCTGAAAAAAAAAAAAGATCGGGGCTTCAACGGGATTCGAACCCGTGACCTCCGCGTTACCGGTGCGTTGCTCTACCAACTGAGCGATGAAGCCACACATTGGGAGCGAGGTCAATTTATTGAGTTCATATCTCCCGTGAGGAAGAAAATGAATTATTTCACATACTTCACATCATTTGACAAAATTTAAACAAGCGATGTGGAATAGTGATTAAGATTGAAAGACAGCAAATTCACTTTTAATAGGATGACAAGACGTTTTCGCTGCCATTATGAGATGACTGTTGAGGACACCATGCTTCCTTTGTAAATCTGGGGGTACTAATTTCTATTTTGGTTTGTCTTGGTTGCATTACCACAATCTGAGACAATAGATCCAGAGTAAGCATAAAATATACTGCTTTTTCAAGTTCTTTAGTAAACCGTTGTTAAACTTTAATTATCAGTGGTGCGCCAAGGTGAAAATAATTAACCCTAAAAAAGTTTCAATAGCATATGCAAGTTTAATCCCCCCTCTGCCAAAAAAAACCCCTTGATCAGCTCCTGTTGACACTGTTGGTAAAAATAGCAGTCAAAGTGTTACTTGCAATATGGCCAAAGTCTGTCCCTTATAGAACACTTAAACGTTATTCTGAACAGTCACTGTTGTAAAGAGATGAAATGTTGTATATATGTGCTTTAAGTTTTTTCTTCTTTGAAACTTATTAATATTTTTGCCAGGCTTGTATGAAATGGTTTAAAAAGAGAGCAGATGAAGAGAAGGAGAAAGAAAGGTGATCTTTAAATGTTTTATTGTAAAATAATTTTATACATAAATTTGGATTTGTCAACTGGAGTTGGCAAGATAGATTGGCCATCTATAGGGAGACAGAGAAGCTGATGTATCGAGCACTATTCCTTTGTCAGGTTGAATAGGCATCTTTTTAGTGTCATTAGATCATTCTGCACTGACCTTGTTACAAATAACTGATGTCAGCCACTGCTTAAACAATACCACCTGTATGAAAGGAAGGTGTTGTCAGTCCCAGTCCCTTGGAGGGCTTTTTGATTTGAACCCCCCACCCTTCTGAAAATTGCATTTTAGCCTTATACTTTCTTTTGCAAATTTTGGTCTTTTAATACCACCCACCCCCACCACCTTGCCCCTCAGAATTTCGAGTGACACACCATAGCCTGGGCTAAAAAATTTTCTGGAACCACACAATACTATGATGACTAAATGCTTTGTCTGACCGTATTTTTCAGTGTTTCAACTTTTAAGGATCAATTCCGTATTCCCAGTTTTATTTTACATAAAGCCACAACGATAGTAATTAGAATATACACACTCAGTGATCTTGGTGATTTAAGCAATCTGATTGGTTCGCTATCTCGGACTATTCAACAATATTCACCTCCTTGCGAGTGGATAATGTGTGAGCTCGTTTTTTCTCACATTTTCTTGGAGAAAGATCTTTTAAAAGTCGACAAAATCCTAGGGTTGACTTTTTTTCAGGCAAGAAAAAACTTCGAAGGATTCAAAACGGCGTTTTTCCATTTACTGTTGCTGAGTTTTGTGGTCGATGGATTGTTTACAACTCCCGTTTATTCGCCTAGAAGAGGCCGTTTCGTGAACTCAGCGTTTCCTAACAAGAAAAATTTGGCCCAAAAACGAAGTTTATTTATGACAAACAAATTTGAAAGCAAATGTTTGCAGAAATTCTACGTTTCAAGTAAACACGAGAAAGAATGCTACATGAAGAGGACGTCTTACTTCGAGGAACCGAATCGCCATTTTTGTCAGCATTTCATGCGAAGAACGACACAATAATCCTTTTCGGCTATAAACTTGGCGAGTCAACAGAAAAACAATAGTGGCTTTAGGAATATTTACCTCGCCACTTCGTGGCTCGGTAAATATTTTGCCACTGTTCACCTCGATTTCAAAGAATAATTGTTAAATGTATCATGTTTCATAGTCACTTGACATCTTTGTGGTTTTCCATTTCTGTACTATCAACTGAAAAGCGTCAAACTATTGATCAATGAAAACGGAAGGGCTCACAAATCATTATGAATGACCATATAAAGGAAACATTTTAAAAGCTGTTTTATAATTTTTGTTATTTTCAGTGGGAGTGTCATACGTGTCTTGCTTTTTAACCTGACTCATGGTCGGGATGCTAAGAGCCTTCTTGAACCACTTGTGGTGTGTAAAGAGAAGTAACTATATAGATAAAGATTATTGACAAAAACAAAGATAATGAATCTGTTATATGTTGTGTTTTCTGCAAACTTCTTTCGGGGTCTTTGCATTGTTTTGTTTTATACCTTTTTAACAGTGTTCCAGCCAGAGTGCGCCATTGCGTAAATCCCGCAAAAGATCGAGAGATGGCCCCCACCAAAAGCGTTCAAGGACCAATATGGCCCTTTCCTTTTTTAATTGCCTGGGCTTAAAATGGTCTCTCTTAACTTCAACTACAATAGTTTTCCAATTAAACAGATTTTTAATCTAAAGAACAACGACTCCGTACCTTTGTACACAACATGAAAATCAATCGATGAATCTTCTTGAGTTTACCTAATTTACCGTGAGTGGTCTGGAGACCACTGAGCCTCGACTTGGCTTTTGTAATATCGCAGAAGCTCATGGGTTAGACTTTCTCAAAGTCGTTACAATCGCGCTTCGCGCTCAAAAGCTCGACTTTTGAGCAACGACTTGTGAGGAAGTCTAATCATGGGTATCCATCATGGCGTCTCGAAAAAAGATACGCTGTGGATATGGTCGGTAACCGGTCAAGGTTTTCAAAACACTAAATGGCCCGCAGTCCTATATTCTCAGTAAATTTCTCAAAATCGAAAGGTTCCAGCTAATCTAAACTATCATATGTCGATTTAGAAAAGTCAAGCGATCCTGAATTGCTTTATAGATCTCAAGTCTAGTGTTTGGTTTACGCTGAGCTCAGAGGACGAAACCATGGTTTGTGACACGTAGAACTTTTTTCAGCTCGACTGCCGGTCAAGGTTTTTAAAACACTAAATGGCCGGCAGTCCTATACCGTTTTAAGCTCTTACGCAGATATACATGTACAGTCGAACCCCGCTATTTGGAAGTCCCAAGGGAAATGGAAAAAAGTTCGAAATAGCGGGGTTTCGAAATAACCGGGGAAGCGTAAGGAGGAAGCATAGGCGTACGGGCCGGGGGGGGCGAGGGGGGCTGCAGCCCCCCCAAATTTTGGGCAGCGAGAGAAAATTTGGGCAAAGGCAGCTTTTAAAGACGTTTTCATGTTTTGTCATTAGTATTTTGAAGAGATAAATATTTTCTATTTTAACCTGAAGTCGGCGTAATAATCAAGTTACATTCACACGAGACAGTGGCTGCCAAGCACGTGATGATTTTCTGTTTATGAGGGAAGGGTTTTTTTTAATCGTTGGGCACTGTACTACAATGGGCTATTTCCAATCGTGAATTGATTAGAATAAACTTCCGCCTACCTTTCAAGAATCATCTCCGCTTGTAGAACAGTGTATGGCAGATAGCATCAGCGATTGATCTGAAAGTGAAGAAGTGCCTGACGAGTTCTCACTCTGATTTACGAGAAGAATCTTAATTTTTTTTAAAAAATCTATCAAGTGGTTCAAATTATTCACTAATTTGTTAAAGTAGACCGAAATGTTTACAAAACCGTTAACAAGAGCGCCATGATACATACTAATGAAATCCTTGTTTGTAGCAATTGACCAGAATTATCTCTAAAATAACTCACACACATTTTTAAAACGATTGAAGCTATATATTATGAGGTGAAATTGCATGTCAAAAGCGCTTCGTTTTCTACAGATATAACGGCTAAACATCAAGATTTTCCTTGTTTTACTCTATTTCTAACGATAAAAACTTTATCCCAAAATATCCCGATAACGCTCTCACAGATTCCGTTTTAACTTCACAAACATCGAGGCGACTATTTGAGGAAAAAGCTCCCGAGAACGATTTCATAGACCTAGGTAATGGCATCATTTCGTTGCTATGACAACTCCGATGTCATTTCAACCTTGATCATGACAAATTTTCATCTTTACATAATACAACTGTCGTGGCAATTTTTCCAAATGTTTGTTTATAGCAACTTATAGTTTATGCTCAAGCTTGGCAGGTATATATTGACCCTGAAAAACTGTATTGAGGCACTTTCGTATGCCAGTACGACCTATGTTGTTGCATCGTATGTCCCTTGTGTAAAAATTTGGGCAACTTGCGAGAATTTTTTGGGCAAATGGTTTACCGCCCCCCCTGGCCGAAAATTGCCCGTACGCCTATGGGAGGAAGGGTAAATCCAAGGGAATTCGAAATAGCGGGGTTCGACTGTATCTATGAATTGTAGACAGGATCATGTAATTTCAAAAGTGAGTCAAACAATTAATTAATTATTCTTTTTTAAGAGAATAGGTAATGCCACGTATGTAACTGGAAATACCTTAATAAATTTTTGTTGTTGCTGTATTTGTGTAAAAAAGACAGATAAAAAAACTGGCCTGACTGGGTGTGAAGATAGTAACTTCTGTGAGTTGCAAAAAAGAGACGTCAGGACACTTTTATACTTATGGCTGGTGTTTTTTTTTTTTTTTTGATTTTGTGAAATTTACTGAGATTATAGGACTGCCAGCCATTTAGTGTTTTGAAAACCTTGACCGGCAGTGGAGCTGAAAAGTGTCACAAAACATGGTTCAGCATAAACCAAACACTAGACTCGAGATCTGTAAAGCATTTCAGGATCGCTTGACTTTTCTAAATCGACATATGGTAGTTTAGATTGGCTAGAATCTTTCGATTTTGAGAAATTTACTGAGAATATAGGACTGCCGGCTATTTAGTGTTTTGAAAACCTTGACCGGTTACCGGCCATATAGCCACAGCGAAAAAGATAAACCTGACAAACGCATCTTCGAGGTCTATCAAAAGTTTTTTCCAAGAAGTAACAAAAACGTGGATGGAGGCGAAGCAGTTCAGAATTAGCGGATGGAAGCAGATCTTGACGGTGAAGTGGAAAATGAGATGAAAAAAATTACTTACTAATTTTATTGCATACATTCTGATTGTACTGTTTGCTTTATTACCGAAGATTTCCCCTATTGTGTTTTAAAAAGGGACGCTCCAAGTCCGCTTCAAATAAACTGACATTTTCATTTCCTTAACTTTCCAACCGTTTCTTCTCTTTTGCATATTAGAGAGATACTGGTACATTGGCCCTTTCTTGAAATATTTGGCCCCCAGAAATGGGTTGTAGGGGCCACTTTGGCCCTCAAGCAGAATTTTCTGGCTGGAACACTGCTTTTGACACACAGGAAATAGTATTTCTAACAGATTAGTGGATTGTACTCAGCTGTGCTTATTTTAATCTAGTCTTTGTCAGTGTGTCATTGGTTCTTGTTCATGTCACTTTAATTTTATTGCAGGAATGCAACTTTGATCATGCAATGTTCTCACCTAATACAGCAAATGTGGATCCTAAAGATAATGACGCAGGTATGCTGCGCGTGTTGAAAGTAAGCTGTTCTCTTCAAATATATCTTTTATTGTCAAATTTGTGAACGCTTGTCCACTTGTATGGAAAACCCGGTACTTCAGGTGAAAATTCAAATTGTTGGTCCATGATAGGAAGTCTGTTGTCAGGCTAGAAATGGTCTACCATTTTTTACCATTATTTTTTTTCTTCCCAGATTTGACAAATTTTACAGTAACTCGAGACAACCAGCTGCGTTGTTGTGATGAAAATCAACGGGTGTGGATGGCTTTGAGAGGTGCAGGTGTCCAACCTCATGCTGACCCATTACAAGACTCTTCTGACACTGAGCATGTGATACAAAATGCCCATGATGATGGGCTGTATTCCACAACTTTTCCCTGTGTATCTCAAGCCATTAGATGGCTCTTGTCTGGAAAGGATCCTCACATTCCGCCATTGTCTCCTGGTGGTTTTGCATTACCTGATTTCATATCAAAAGCCACAAGACTTCAGGTCCTGGTAACTGGTAGTATACATCTTGTAGGAACAGCCATGAAAGTACTGGGACCTGAAATTGTTGGAGAAGTGTAGACTAGAACATAAATGTGACATAACACAAGTGGTATATGCTCTATGTACTGTACTCATTATTTACAAGAATTAGGTATTCACTTCAATATAATAGGTGTCACGGAAACTAAAATCACCAATTCTAATGAGAATACAGGCCTTTCAAACATACCCGGTTACGTTTTTGAACACGTTCCAACACAACTAGCATGTGGTGGTGTAGGCCTCTTTGTCGATGAAACACTTAGTTATTCAGTTTAAGAAAAAACTTCCGCCGAATCTTTCCAGGCATTGTGGATAGAAGTTTCTTTTGTTAAGAAGAAAAACGTAATCTGTGGAGTCTTATACCGTCAACATAATTCTCCAGAGAGCTTTCTTAAATACTTGGAAGAGACTATCAACCAATTTACTTCGACAGGAAAGAACTTATGTCTCTTAGGTGATTTTAATTTATGTCTACAAAAAATCGAAACCTGTAATTACAGTCGCGACTTCTTACTGGTCTTCAAAGTTGTTATCTCCTTCTAACTGTTGACAAACCAACACGTGTTCACAAAAATTCTCCAAGCTTAATCGATAACATTTTTGTGAACAATCCTGAGCAGGTGCTAACCAGCGGGAATCTCATTACTGATGTCAGCGATCATTTTTCGCAATTTTGTATTTTGACATCAGCAAGAGATAAAATTAAACGGAAGCAAATTAAAAAACGCGATCTTTCGCATTTCAATCTCGATAGTCTTAACAGCGACCTTGCTACGATCGACTGGAGTTGCATCATTAAAACGCACGCAAATAATGTAGACGAGCTATTTTCAACTTTCTATAGAAATTTTAATAAAATTATAAATAAACATGCACCGATTAAAACCCTTTCTCAACGTAGGATTAAACAATTTTCTAGGCCTTGGATTACAAAAGGTCCGAGAACGTCAATCGAAGAAGAAAACAGACTGTACCAAATTGGCGATCAGGAAAGGTATAAATATTATCGAAATAAAATTTGCAGTCTTACACGTTTGAGTAACAAACACTATTACTGCGCCTTTTTAATAACAATTTAAGTAATATGAAAAAAACATGGCAAGGCAAAATCGCTGCAAAAGAAAGTGTAAATCTGTTGGTAAATTAAAAGACCCAGATAACAACAATAACCTTACTAATGATTCCTCGCGTATACCTAATATCTTAAATAAACATTTTTCAAATGTTGGCAACATCTTAGCAAGCAAACTACCACCGGCAGAGCGCCCCTTCACAGAGTACCTAAGAAACTACAGTCCGCCAGAACTGTCGTTTTTCTTCAGACCTGTAACTCTATCCGAAATTCAATTTCAAATTTTATCTATACCAAACAGCAAATTGCATGGCTTATACTCCTGTCCTAATCCACTTCTTAAATACTCAAGCGAAGTCATATCTCCAGTTCTTTCAGATATTCTCAATGCATCTGCCTCTATTGGGGCTTACCCCCAGAAACTTAAAATATCAAAAATTATACCTATCTTAAAGGGGGGAATTTCATATATCCCATGATGCATCGCTTTATACTATATTATCAAGCTTCCGAACGCACGTGATGCTATCACTTCAACAGGGACGTGACAGTTGAACAGCAGTGGAAAGCGACTTGTGTTCAGGGGCACCCAACGGCAATTTTCGGGAAAATATCTGTTCGGAAGACGATTTGAGCTCTAGAATTTTCGGAGCAGTTGTTGCAAAATTTCTTGCTTGCCTGCCTCTCCTAGGATTCTCGAACATCTACAAAATGGTATAATTACCCATTTTTAACGGATTTTGACCCTAAAAAAGGCCACCTAGAATTTTCGGGGGCCTTTTCCTGGCTGAAATTTTCGGGAAGGTAAGTTTTTATCCCTATAATTTTCGGATCACTAGACTTTCAGCTAGGAAATCCGAACAGATGAAAAGTTTTTAGGGGATAAAAATATGCCTATATCTACCGTTTGAATACTAAAATACGTTCAACAATGCTATGTTAAGTGGTTTTGAACTATATCCTCGTTGGGTGCCCCTGTGTGTTGCCGATAAAACTTTCTGTACCTTTGCTGTGTCGATCTATTTACGATTTTCGTTTTACTATTCCAAATATATCTCTTGTTAAGTCAAAGAGAGTGTTTTGGCCGCCGATTATGAGTTAACTAGCCTTACGATCGCAAGGCAGTCCACGCAAATGTTCTTAGAAGCTAGCGGAGGAAGGTCTTTGCTTCAGTACGTCCTGTTTTAACGTGCGTTGATAAAGCTCTCCATGGATTAACAAGCGATTTCCACGTACTTGTCTTGAAATAAATACATATTCTAGGTGTGAGATTTCTCTTCGTTGCTTGTTGGTGATCGCGGTGTTCATATTGTCAGTTCAATAATTCATCGATGCAGTACATCAACCGTACGTACGGTGACCGAACATGCTTTTACTTCAACAAGCTCGGCTTATGTAGTCGAAAATACCGAGACCGTTAAAGTGCAAAGTGACGTCTCTCGGAGATAAAATTAAAAGGAGGGAAATAGCTCCAACAAACAATAAAAATAACAAAGACATCTCCATATTTTTCGTAACACAACACCAGCTAAGCATCATTGCCAAACATAAACAGAAAAAAAGCTTTATTAAGAAATGGCAAAATACACGTACAAAAACACCCACTTCTTCGCTACGGTGGATCCTAAAAGAATTATAAAAATGTCTTAAAAGGTTTCATACGCCGGTTGAGGTCTTACGGCGTGCTATTCCATGACATTTGCTGGCCTGTATATTTCAAGTTCGCCACGCGCGGTTGCGACCGGAAGCCACCATGAGAAACCAATTTTACCTAAAATAATGAGACAAAAAAGCTTCAATAACTATAAACCATTGAATTTAAACATTCATCATACCCTCAAGAGATAATATTTGTGTTTTGATCAGCAAAAAAAGAGCGAATTCAAGAAAAAATGTCTCTTCGCACGACTTAGCATAAAGAAATTGAAACCTTCGTCTTGCATCTTAGCGGAGAAAGGGCAGAAAATGGGATATTTCAAAACGATCAAACCCATAAAAATCGCGAGGTCGAAAGAGGTCGGAGCGTGGAACTAGTATCAAGCACCCCTTGTCCGCCGATTTAAATAATTTATTAGGGCAAAACCTTGCTAGAATAAAGACAGTTTTCGATAATTGAAAGTCATCTAAATAAATATTCACTTGCGAGTTAAAACAGCATGGCTTAACAGGGCCGTAAACGAGAGCAATAATGCGTGAAATGACCATGGAACCATTTTACATTATTAATAAGATACCAAAGATTAACAGGGCTCATTGAAACTTACCTTGGATGAGCTGCATCTTGAAATTCAGGTCGTTGAAAATCTCCCTCGAAACCCTCGAACGCTCTTTCCACAGCAGAGAGAAGACAGAAATTTGCCGCGAAGCATCATGGGATATATGAAATTCCCCGCTTTACCTATCTTCAAAGCTGACGACGAGACCGACACTTCTAATTATAGGCCAATTTCATCTTTGTCAAATTTCAATATAGCCTGAAATTCATCCGATTGCTTCGAGTCGTTTTCTCCTCTCCACAACGTCTGAATTGACCGGCCGTTAATGCCGTCCAGTGACGTCACTAGGGAACTTAAGATCGAGACGTTTTCGGGGCGACGGCGACCGGACTGGCAGAGAAAGCCTGGAACTAAGGCAGCCGTCGCTCCCCGTCAAAAATAGAACATTAAGATCGCAGTGAACTCAGAAGAACGGCGCCTTTAATTAGAAGAATACCGAAGAGGAAAATATGGCTTCACATAAAGAATTAAGAGAATAAATATTTGCTATGCAGACAACATGTATCGGATGAAGAGTTTCTCGTTTTGTGGGAAAATTATGAGTCCAAAAATCCCGATTTTCCTCGGGACAGTTACGATCCGTCACGCTAAAAAACATGCGGGATGCAGCTGAGTTCAAGGCAGAATTTCGTGTTTCTCCACAGGCTTGCAAATTACAGGGACATTAAAATGCTACCAAGGAACCGTATTCTTAGTTTGGTATTGAAATAATTCCCGGGAAATACTTGCATGCAACAAGAACAACAACGGCAACAACTTTATTTCAGTATTCCCACGCCGAGTTAGTACATGGTATTACCTACTATTCTATATAATTTTCAATGCGATTCATTTATACGATATTCTAACGAAAAGAGCGAACTAAAAACACACAATTGAAATATCGGAGTTCATATTTTTTGTCTGGATACTTTTATTTGGCTCGTGGGAAAATTTTGTCCCATGTCAAGCTCACTTACGGTTGGCTGTTTGCCAAGTTGGATCTTGACCCTGTGACATGAAAACATAGAAACATTCAAAGATGTAAGTTTTGATAACAGAGCTTGGAAATCGAGCTTGAAATGTGCCTCAAAGAAAACAAGGACAATTTAAGAACGATAATCTGCAAAATGTTGGTTGCTAAACGCAACAAACCAAACAGACCTGTTTCACGTCGCCGACGGGACCACGACGGCAAGGTGGTGAGCACGAGCATGCGCAATATCCAACAAATGATGATGTCACGTCCGGTTGAAGTTGCCGTCGGCCCGAAAACGTCTCTATCTTAAGTTCCCTACTCACTACCCGAAAACCGGGTAGTGATTCTGATTGGTTGATTGTCTGAACATTCGCATAATTATGTATAATTATGAAAAATTTTAACGGGATTGTCGCTTGATATTCAGCGGATCGCATCCCTGGCATTCTTTCGTCTAGTTCAAACATTTCGATAAGCTTAATCTTTATCTTAAACAGCAAAATTGCCCTTGTCTTCGAAACTGAAATGCTAAATTTAACTGCGAATGAAGAATCATTGCGGCGAGTCGGTAGGTTTTTCATTTAGAGCCGCTTTGTGGTTTCGGCGGTCGGTGATTTTGTTTACGCGAAGTTTTCTGAGATCAATGTTTTTATTCGACCTTCTTGCTATTTTTACCGTCAAGTGTAATGATTCTGTTAGCTTTTCTTTCTTGTCTCCTTGTTTTTTTTCTTCGTTAAGGACCAAATAGCTTCTTTTCAATTGAAGCAAATCATTGCGTTTTTGAACTAAGTGTTCCGTGTGTGTGTTTATTTCATTGCGTGATTGCGACCGAGTTTGATTATAGAATTTAGTATATAAAACCGGTTCAGAGTTGTAGTGCATGCAGTTGATAGTTTGAACGTTAAACATGAATTACGATCGAAAAAAATAAAGCAGTTCTGTATCATGCAGACATTTCAAAACGACATTTCTCGGTTTGCCACTTGAAAATCGTGTCTTACTTTTTGCATGAATTAAAGCAAAGGTCAAGGAGTAGTGACGTCACTGGACGGCATTAACGGCCGGTCGATTCAGACGTTACTGAGGGAGTAATAACGACTTGAAGTAATCGGATGAAATTCAGGCTAATTTCAATAGAATCTTCGAAAAAATTATGTACGACAGAATGAGAGACTTTATTGAAAAGCACGGCCTATTATATTCGTCTCAATATGGTTTTCGTCAAGCTCGCTAAACCCAGCATGCTATTCTTCATATGGTAGAAACTATACAAACCAACATGGACAAAACACTCTTTTCATGTGGTGTTTTTATTGACTTAAAAAAAGCCTTTGACACTGTGAATCATACTGTTTTACTTGATAAACTAAATTATTTTGGCTTCCGTGGAATTGTCAATCAATTGTTTTCCTCTTATTTATCAAATCGCACACAAAGTACTGAAATCGGCTCTCATATATCTAGTAAACTAAATATCAATTGCGGCGTACCCCAACGTTCTGTCCTAGGTTCACTTCTCTCTTTGCATTATATAAATGACATCCAATATTGTTCGAGCAGACTCCAATTTTTCCTTTTTGCTGATGACACTAACGCTCTTTAGGCTGATAAAG